TTATAAATTTGACGTTTTTTTTCAAGAGACGAAACTATTTTAATTTTTGAATACCAAACAACGTATATGTGTGAATCAGCGAGTAGTATCATAGTCCAGACGGTATCTGTTTCAAAAAGCCATATTTGGGTGATTCGTATATCCACGAAGATTTTTGGCTTTTTGGCTTTCAATGAAAATTTTTCTATGCGCATAAAAAAAACGTGGGCTTAACTTTTGGCGGCACTATATGTTAAAAAAATTCGAAAAATGTCATATTTTTCTTACTATTTCATTATGTATGTTTTCAAGAGTTGATTTTAGGCGAAAATGGAAGAGGAAAAAAAGTTTATAATTAAATTTTTTGCAAAACATGACTAGTTACAAATCGAATGGATCATGATTAATATGGCAAAAATCGAAAAAAATCGAAAAAATGGGGTTAAAAACAATACTTTTTAGGGATTTTTTTTGGGGCATTTAAATTGGGTATAGGACCTCTATACTTGGCTCAAGAAAACTTCATGTTATGTAGAATCATCACACCAAATTTCATCAAAATCGGTTTGATAGATTTTGCATAATAATTTTGCAATCGATTTTGAAAAAAAAAATTGCAAATTTTCAAAATTTTGCACAGCAAAAACGAAGGCCCTTAGATACTTGAAAACCACATATAGAAGGACTCTCAAGCTTTCAAACTCTTTTTGAAAAATTCGAATCCGTCAATTAGGAAAGCTCTGGCGCTTGTTTAAACATTGGTCGAATTTTTGTACTTATAAACAATTAGAATAACTTTGTGAATATTCCATCAAATCAAATTGTTTAAAGCAGGTTTTTAAAGTTCTTGGAAAGACGCTTGGAAAGACGGAAATTTGGTGTGATGATTCTACATAACATGAAGTTTTTTTAGGCCAAGTATAAAGGTCCTATACCCAATTTAAATACCCCAAAAAAATTCCCTAAAAAGTATTGGTTTTTAACCTCATTTTTGCGATTTTTTCGATTTTTACCATAATAATCATGATTCATTCGATTTGTAACTAGTCATGTTTTGTAAAAAAATTAATTACAAACTTTTTTTTCCTCTTCCATTTTCGCCTAAAATCAACTCTTGAAAACATACATAATAAAATAGGAACAAAAATATGATATTTTTCGAATTTTTTTAACATATTGTGCCGCCAAAAGTTAAGCCCACGTTTTTTTTTATGCGCATATAAAAATTTTCATTTCTAGTGATATTTGAAAGCCAAAAAGCCAAAAATCCCCGTTATACGATTCACCCAAACCAAAACAGATACCGCCTAGTATATCAGTAGTATTACAGATTGCTAACTCACAGACATTCATTGCTCGGGAAATACCGCATATGTGGTACCGTCTTATACCATGAGAAAGTCTTTATAATAATCCTTACTTTCGCAAATATGCGTAGACAAAATAAATCACACTAATATGAGTGTGAGAATTATGACTGCAATTATTATATTTGCTTTGCTCACGAGGAAATTTTGCACACACTTAAGAAATATAAAGTAATGAAACGATGGTTTATGTAATTTTCGTTGTATTTGTCTAAGTATATATAATAACTTTATTGTAGGCTAATATACATTATTGAGATTATATATTGGTATACTAAGTTGTTTCATTTAACATATTTTATTATTACTTTTGTTGTACAAAACAAGTGTTTAGTCACTTATTGTCTACTTATTTATTCACTATTATTCTTACTGCTGTATTTTATTATGTATAAAATTGTTTGTGTGAATAAATTAATTATGTACCTTAATTATTATAATTATGTATTACCGAAAGATAACATAATCACTTGCCTATGGTCGTATTTTAATAGACCCCTTAGTTGCTATTTTCTGCAAGATCCGAAATAAGATGAAACTGAAAAATGGGACTGTTCTTGGATAATTTCTCATAAAGATAAACCACGAAGATACGTATTGTACTTCATTATTTCTTCCAATACATAAAAAAATACGAAACTGCTCAACGAACATAAAAAAATCTCAAATGTACAGAACTGACATCATTTGAGGAATACTAGCTCGAAAACTTGTCTGAAAATTTAAAAATAAAAAATGAATAATGATTTATTTCATTCTTTCATATGTCAATTTCCTTAATTTTCACCCCTTGTAAGGGTATTAACGCAATATTAATATTTTTATCCATATAATTTCCAACAATTGATTTTACTATCTGCCACATATCTGCCAAACTTAACATTAAAAAAAATATCGAAAATTACAGTATTTGTGAAGATTATATTATATTATATTATATTATTATATTATATTTGTGAAGATTTCCAAGAGCATCAATGAAATAATTTGATTAATTTTTTCATTTATACAAATATATCAATTTACCAAAAATCCGCTTGATATAACGCTCCTGAAAAGAGTTACTAGCATCTCAGCGAACCCATGCGTCTGTCAAATGTTTTCTTTAAAAATTAATATCTCAAAATCTATAACTCCTAAGTATAAGGAATATTTAATAAAGTGACCCTCAAATGTTACGTAGAATAAGAAAATGTAATAATATACAGGGTGTTTCAGAAAGCCCTCCCGTAAATACAGGGGGTGATAGTACGGCGAAAAAAAATAAGATTTTTTTGTCATGTGAACTATATGTCTATCTCCTCTTGTTTTCGAGATACAGAGCAATAAAATAAAATTTTTTAAATAGAATTTAATTTCCAAACGGTGCGAAATATTTTTATGAAATTTGATATTCCGGGGTTTTTAAGGACGCCAAATACGCAAATTTTTTAGATATTTCATAAAGGGCGCAAGTTATGCTATATTCCTATTACATTTTAAGTTCTAATTTTTTAAAGTTAGGTTTTTTACCATTCGAGCTCCAATTTCTGATGTACAGTTTTATTTTCTAAAAATAATGTACTTTTGTTAGAACATATGCTGGACACTTTTCGTGATCTGAGAGATTTTGATGTAAACACTTGCCAAATCCATTGTGTCTTATCTCTTTGCTTAATGATTTTAACAATAAATGCGAAACAAACTGTTTGTTAAAAATAACTGCAAATCTGTACCTCGGAGCCAGACCATGTTAATTTGTTCATGGAGTTTTATTATGTTTATCTTGTACTTAGATTATAGAAGAGAAGAATTTTGAAAAATTCTATTCAGCAGAAAATTTACCTATGTTTTGAGATTTTTCGGTTAATATTTTTTATAATAAATAAAAGTTCTATATTCATATAAATATATTAACAACAAAAATGAGCCTAGGAACTTGATATAGGCAAAATATACCAGAAAGTATTGAAACTGAGTCTATAAGCAAGCTTGCTGATCATTCTTTGTATCAGGCAGTTTTTCTTAGGTTCAGTGCCTCGTCATGCATCGACGTCATCTTAAACAATCTGTGCTTAATAAATATTTAAGAGGTTAAAAACATTTAACTGTAGACAGCTGAATTATCAATTAAAGATTGCACAACAAAATTATTTCCAGTGATTCTACTTCATTGAGATCTAATAGTAATCAAAGGAACAATTATATAACATATAACAATGAATATATATTCTATAATTAGCTATCGTATTACTTTTTTACTCTATTTTAAAGCAAATTTTGAATAAATTCAAAAGGTTTTTCTAAAAATTCTTATCAAATGAAGTTAAACAATGTTCTTCGATACCAGAGACCTAGGTATGCAAAAGATATCTAGCCCCAAAGACCCAAAGACAAGATGTATTTGGATTAAGCTTTAGGCTATTCCCTCCTGCATATTTCGATGTAGCATGATAAGTTATGATTTTATCAGGAATTTTTATGTTTTTAGAATCAAAATAATAAATTAATTGAGTATCATCTTCAAAAGCAATGGATTTAGTTGTGGTGTAATGTGTCTACAATATAATTCTAAAATAACGTTGGACCCAACACGAACCCCTGGGGCATTCCCAATATAATAACGGCGATCATTTAATACTTCTTTTTGAGAACAATTAGTCAAATAAGAATCAATAAATCTCACAAACAAGCTGACAAATCCATATAGTTATTTATGTACCAAGGGAGATACAGGGATAATTACTTTCTTTCCTAAAGGCATAATTATCTTAGGTGGTGCATACAACGTTTTATTTTTTACTTAGACATATGATTTTATATTTATTTTAAATTTAATAATTAAATGTAAATGAGAATGAAAACAATTTTTCAATATATAAACGATGTATTCAAGATGTATCTATGACACCCGCAAGTGTGTTGATTTTGATAGTTTGATGTTTGATTCTGAGGAGACATTGAAAAGACAGAATGGATAATATTCCAGCAATAGTTGCTGCTAGAGCCAATAAAGCCAATGAAGAATTACTGCCTAAGAAATCTAAATTACTTTATGATAAAGAATATAAACGTTTTGAGACTCGGACAAGCAGAAATTCAGTGACAGCTGTTAGTGAAACTATATTAATGGGATATTTCCAAGAACTTCCTTCTATCACTTTCACTATCACTAAAATAAACATTTTAATTCTGAACCTGTAGCAAACCGTGATCCACAGTATTAAAATTTTTTGAGATCCAGTTGCGCAAACATTCCCTGTGACAAAAAAAACAAAATCTCAGGTGTATGAAATAACAAAATTTATACTATAACCTTTTCTGAAACCTGACTACAAAGTATTTAATATTATTTTTAGTGAAGTAGGTGGTATACATAAAATTGAGAGCAAATAAAATTTTGTAATATTGAGGATCTTTTAGATGTCGATTTCATCATAAGTTACTAAATTAAAATGAAATGAAATCTTGTTCTTAAAAGTATCATCACCAACATTGAAGTGGATTAAATGCAGATAAAAAATACTTGTTAGTATACATGCAGCATCCCTCAAATTTAGCAGTGTTGGATGTACCTAATATTTAAAATGGTCCACCTTTTATCTCGCCTAATAGCAGTGTCAGTAAGATTACGCAGATTTTTATAATGGTAATAACTAATATTATAATACATACCAAGCGATAATAAGGAACTGCCTGAGTTTTCACTTTTAACGTCTTTCTGAAAATTAAAAGAAATGTACCAATTAGTTGAATAATATCAGTAGTCGACATAAACAAATCAATAATAAAAAATTCGTAATTATTGTACTTTTTTAGATAATGGAGATATACACAGTCCGTACGACGTTTGTTGAGAATTCCAAGAAGAACTCTGCGTCACTTTTTCAATTTCAAGGCACGCTCTTGCCGCCTTATTCTGCACTACAGGTAGAAAGATATTGGGGGAAAATTTCAAGACACGCCCTGTTGTGATAAATTGTTACAGTAGTTTCCATAACAGACCTTTATTGGCTTATTCTCTTTTTGCAATTCAGTCTCAACAGACTGTACTTAAATAGCTTTTGACGTCCATTGTATTTATTTCTATATTCTTTTTCTGTTTTTTTGTATTTTCATTTTTGTATTTGTGTTTTATAGTATGTATACAAGGGTTAAGCAAGTAGCGGAAGCTAAACTTCGCCCTTGCCTAAGTATTGTAATTTTTTCATTATACAATACCCAATAAAGACATTTTATTAATATTATTAATTATGTCATAAGCTATTATACAGGGTGTCTCACATTTAAATAGCAGGACTTCAGGAATCAGTAGAAGACCTCATTTTGAGTCTAAAAGTTCCTATATACAGGGTGTCTCACATTTAAATAGCAGGACTTCAGGAATCAGTAGAAGACCTCATTTTGAGTCTAAAAGTTCCTATATATATGGGTCCTGAAACGCTTCGTTTCTGAGATACTGGGCGTTCAATTTTATTTTTGTTTTATTTATTTATTTTTTAACTAAATAACCGCTGACAAAAAAAATCATCATGTTGCGGCGAAAGACTTAGTATTTGAGGGCAAATAATTTGACACAGAAAATCATCGCATATTAGTTCCAGTGGTGGAGATAGAGGGGTCTCTATGCATATTTTTATAAAAAAAAGTATAGCCGATTTGATATTTTGCAAATGTTTTCGAAAAATATGAAAGAGCATTCAATTTTACCCAGAAAAGGCCCTCTTGTCCAAAGTCGATAGGAGGTGGCGTTTTCAAGAAAAACCGAAAATACTGTTTAGAAGTCAAATTAAGAAAAACCGAAAATACTGTTTAGAAATCAAATCAGACTTGAAATGTCATTCTAATATTGACATTTGCGCTTATTTTATTATAGTTTCTAATTGTGTGTAGAGTATTAAAAAAAATTGCAACAAATTCAAAATGCCGTTTAAGTTTACGAACCAAGAATACGCAGATATTCACTTCATATACGGGTTTGCCAATGGGAACTCGGCAGAAGCTGCTAGGGAATATCGGAGACGATTTCCTAATAGAAGACAGCCGCATCCACACGTTTTTATTAATGTTCATCAACGTTTCGCTAATGACGGATTGAATCTGGTCCATAGGGATCGCAACATAATTAACGTTAATATTGGCAGAAATAGGAGGAATCAGCGAATCTTGCACGAATTTGACAGAGATCCCACGACGAGTACCAGAAAAATTTCCAGGATTATTGGTGTTTCCAGGTGCACTATTTCTAGAACATTAAGACGAGATCATAGACATCCCTACCACTTACAACCTGTTCAGGGTTTACGTCCGGGTGACGAGGAACATAGAATAGCTTTTTCTCGGTGGATTCTTAACTCAATTGAAAACGACGGAAATTTTTTATCACACATATTATGGACCGACGAGTCATGTTTTACTCGTCGAGGTGTGACAAATTTACACAATCAGCATGAGTGGGCACATGAAAACCCGCATGCAATCAGACCACGAAATTTTCAGCACGAATTTAGTGTTAATATTTGGCTCGGCGTTTATAACAATTGTCTTTTCGGCCCTTACATCTTACCTCAACGACTGAATTCTGCGAATTTCTTAGAGTTCTTAGAGACCGAGAGTGCCAACATGTGGGAGGAAATTCCTCTGAATTTAAGAATGCGAGCATGGTTTCAACTTGATGGCTGTCCAGCTCATTTTGGCCGAAATGTCAGGAACTGGTTGAACACCCACTTTCCCGAAAAATGGATTGGCCGCGGGGGTATCGTTGCATGGCCTCCCCGATCCCCTGATCTGACACCCCTAGATTTTTTCCTCTGGGGTTTTATTAAAGAGAGAGTTTATACCACTACTGTGGACACAAGGGATGAACTTATTCGTCGGATTCGGAACGCATGCAGTGAAATCAGAGACAATAACTTAATTCAAATGAGACGTTCTATTCAGCGTCGGTGTCAGTTATGTATCGAAGAAAATGGTTTACATTTCGAACATTTGCTTTGATGTAATATGGTTTTCGTTATTTATTTTTGTATTTATTTTCATTTAATTAATTAAAAATAATTTTAACCGAATTTTTGAACTACATATTTAATTTAGTTGTAACACAATGTTTAAAAATTATTATTTGACTTCTAAACAGTATTTTCGGTGTTTCTTGAAAACGCCACCTCCTATCGACTTTGGACAAGAGGGCCTTTTCTGGGTAAAATTGAATTTTTTAGAAAACATTTGCAAAATATCAAATCGGCTATACTTTTTTTTATAAAAATATGCATAGAGACCCACTATCTCCCCTCTATCTCCACCACTGGAACTAATATGCGATGATTTTATGTGTCAAATTATTTGCCCTCAAATACTAAGTCTTTCGCCGCAACATGATGATTTTTTTTGTCAGCGGTTATTTAGTTAAAAAATAAATAAATAAAACAAAAATAAAATTGAACGCCCTGTATCTCAGAAACGAAGCGTTTTAGGACCCATATATATATATAGGAACTTTTAGACTCAAAATGAGGTCTTCTACTGATTCCTGAAGTCCTGCGATTTAAATGTGAGACACCCTGTATAACAATTGCTATATGTCTTCTTTTTTTAAAATTTGAAATATATAGCTATTTTTATTGCTCATGATAAATATGGTGAATGAAATTTTCTTAATTAATAAAGTAAAAACGAAATCTTATGCCTATTTATTATGTATCTATTTACCTGAATTGTGTAACAGGGCTTGACGCAAAATTTGTAATTTTAAAAAAATCCATAATTTTATTACAAGAGATTAAAATTAAATAAATGATGAAACAATAATAAAAGGTTCATACAGACCATACCAGAGATACCGCTTTAGTACCTTATCATAATTTTTGTTTTCTAAGTGTCATGGTTATTCAAAAAATGTATTCATTTTTTGTAAATCTGTTACCTCTTAGATATTTCAATAAATTTTAATTAAAATTAAATAAAAAGAACATTATATCAGTCGAAAAGGCATTCAATTTTGCATTCACCCATGACAATTAATATGGGTCGTTCCATTTGAAAAAAAAAAAGATTTTCAGCTCGTAAGATTATTAAATGCAGGGCTCAGTATTTCCGGGTCTGAGTAACGTACACGTTTTGCTCACAGATGACAAGGTACAGTAATTTATGCCAAAATGAATTGTGAAAACTGCAGGTTTCTAGTTCCTACGGTATAGACACCATCTAGCCTCATTTAGAGAATTGAAATCGTGAACACCATGTACATTTAATAAACTCTACCTAATATTAATCAAGGAATTCAAAAACGCAATAATATACAGGCTGTTCCATTTAAAATAACAAAATTATGTAGCGCCGACGCGAAATGAAACACCCTGTAAAACTAAAAATATATTTTTTTACATGGCCCACATGATTCCAGACAACATTTATTAAAACCTTTTTTATAAATTTTACAGTTCCATCTGTTCTATCTAAATTTGTGTCAACAACATAAAAAGTCTGGTTACTATTGGTTCAGGGTTAGTTTTCTCTACTAATCCGCCTTTCTTTTGCACAGAATATTAATATTCCATTTTATGAAATGTCATCATGATAACACAGATTTTAAATTGTGTTTGTAATCGGATAAAATTACTGCTATGCAAATGTGTTGTATTGTACAGACATTACAGATTAGACGGATTTAGTTTTAAATCGCAGAGAAACATAAAAACAAGATTTGAACAAAATCTAGCCCATGGCATGTGAATTAGAAGAGTCTGAGGGTTTTTGACTAACAAAAAAAAAATATTTGACACTGAAGAGAATTTTTCTACACAGAATTTTTTGAAGACATATCCACGAATCAATTTAAATTATCTGCAATTTACTATAGGTATTTATATTTTAGTTTTAATAATAGCAATCAAAACAAGGTTGATGTGATATACACAGATTTTTTGTAAAGCATTTGACAGGCTCGACCATGGTATCCTCCTTCGAAAGCTGAAAATATTTGATATTTTAATTTTACTTTCCACTTTCTACCTATCCAATATAGAGCAATATGTTGAAGATCACAGTTTTAAGTCTGGTCCGTTTTTGGCTTGATATGGTATGCCGCAAGGGTCAATAGTATTTTGTTTATTTATAAATAAAAAAAAATCACTGTTGATCTTGATAAAATTAATAAATGATGTTGCCTGAATAAGCTTCGTCTAAAAAAGTATAGGTAAGGTAATATTTTGTCTTTCAGTAAGAGAAATGTTCCAATTCACTTCGATTACAAGATAAATAATATTGCTTTAACTAGGGTGGTTGAATTCAATGATCTGGGGGTTCTGTTTGATATACTTCAGTCTTTAATTTTACTTTCAACTTTCTACCTATCCAATATAGAGCAATATGTTGAACATCACGGTTTTAAGTCTGGTCTGTTTTTGGCTTGATATGGTATGCCGCAAGGGTCAATACTAGGGCCACTAGTATTTAGTTTATTTATAAATGATATCACTTGTTGATCTTGATAAAATTAATAAATGGTTTTGCCTGAATAAGCTTCGTCTAAAAAGTATAGCCAAGGTAATATTTTGTCTTTCAGTAAGAGAAATGTTCCAATTCACCTCGATTACAAGATAAATAATATTGCTTTAACTAGGGTGGTTGAATTCAATGATCTGGGGGTTCTGTTTGATATACTTCAGTCTCTAATTTTACTTTCCACTTTCTACCTATCCAATATAGAGCAATATGTTGAATATCACGGTTTTAAGTCTGGTCTGTTTTTGGCTTGATATGGTATGCCGCAAGGGTCAATACTAGAGCCACTAGTATTTAGTTTATTTATAAATGATATCACTTGTTGATCTTGATAAAATTAATAAATGGTTTTGCCTGAATAAGCTTCGTCTAAAAAGTATAGCTAAGGTAATATTTTGTCTTTTAGTAAGAGAAATGTTCCAATTCACTTCGATTACAAGATAAATAATATTGCTTTAACTAGGGTGGTTGAATTCAATGATCTGGGGGTTGTGTTTGACTATACTTCAGTCATTTGGAACCCTAGCTATAATAATAATAATTATAATGCAGTCCAAACAGTACAACGCCATTATTTAAAATTTCTATCCTTCAAATTATATAGGCAATTTCGCAACAGAAACTGTTTCTTTTATTAGACTACAAGATCTGCGAATTTTTTTTTCCATATAGTACAGTCATTGAAACTTTTCACCTCCGAATTCTTTGAAACTGAACCGATCGACTTGAAATTTGGCACATAGTTAGAGAAAAGGCCAATGAACATTAGTGACACAGCACCGATTGATGCTTCCACCCTGTTAGGGGTTGACACCCCTCCTCAGGGGGTTAAGAAATGTTGTACGTCCTATACAAAGCCAAGTATGGTTAGTGGAAGGGGACTTTTTTTGAGGGGAATACTCGAATCGATGTATTCAACGTCAAATAACGGAAAAAGGATTAATTTTACGTGTATAACGCTCCAGGAGTTTTTGGTAGTACTCAAAAAGACCTTCAAAATGAGTATTTATAAATGTTAATTAGAGCAAAATTGTAGGAGTTATCGTCAAAACAGATGGGTTGCTCATATTTTTTAAGGAAAAATGAGCAGTACCATTTCCATCAGAATTAAAATTAATCGTATACCCTTTGCAATTAGTTTTGTTTTAGTGTTTTTCATACGATCCTGAAGTTAGACCGTTTTAGAATGCGTATTTTTGAATAATATACGGTAAAAGTTAAAAACGTATTTTTCATTATTCAAAAAAAATTGCCTTATTTATAATAATTCTGAAACTATGAAAGATACGTAAAAAATTATAGATAACAAAAATGTAGAATTTTTCCAACAAATATTTTGCTTTTTTTATTCTTATAGCATAAAAAATAAAGGAGATATCGCCACTTGAAGTATCCATTTTAGTGAAAAAACGACCTGTCTTGAGCCCTTCGACCCTTTCCCTTTAAAAAACGAAGGACTTAAAAGGTTTTATATGCAAACGATCTTGCAACTCTTGAAATTATCTTTAAAATGCTTTTTGTAGGATACTATAGCTTTTTCACCGCGAAATTCTACTTTTCAGAGGGAAATTAATTTTCCTATAGTAAGCACATGTTTCATGAAAAATTTGTCCGCTCGGTTCCACTTAAACGCCATTTTTGACATGTATTGTCAAGATAATCACTATTAGACAAAAGAACGACGCGGCGTTGTTCTGAAACTAGAAACTTTCAAAGGTAACTTGATGGACTATAAACTTAATGGACTAAAATATTTTTGTATAATTTAAGTATAAGAAAATGATTTTCAAAGTTCGATATCTCGAAAACAGCTGATTTAGGTACATGATATGCCGTATGAATTTTGTTTAGAATTTCGAGAAGAATTGAAATATGGGATAGTTTATAAGGGCCTCGTGCCCTTTTTTGACATCAGATTTGTATTTGTCCAAAAATACATCTTACACTTATTTTTTCAATATAATTGTGTTTTTGCCCTTTTTGTCTTAAAAAGGGCCGTTCGCCAAGTTTAGACAGATTCGTGTTTAGCACCCAAAAACACATAGGAAATCAGTCATCTAGGTTAAAATCGAGATAAGAGTCGGTATTCTTCATATTTATCAAAGGTGGTATTGAGATAACTGCATTTTCAATATTTAAGAGACTGCGATTATAAAAAATCTAAACGATGAAATTTTTTTACTCTTAAAATTTGGTTTCAGCACATCAAAATCTATAAGAAATGACAGGTCTTATCTAAAGACCAAAAAATTTCTTTTTGTCGGCCTGTGTTACATTTGCATTTAATTCACATGATTACAACTAAGAAATATTCAAGGTGGCTGTCCTGTTAATTTCCGACATTTAAAGAAAAATGGGAATATCATTTTTGTTTTCAACTTCAAAGCACTGTAAAAAATTTCAAATTATTCTAAAAATTTGGCAATATAAGATTTTTTTAAATTTCACAAAGCAGATTCATTAGGAAGCTTGTTTTATGTATACAAGTATAATGTGAAAATGAGTATTAGCAAAATACTTACAGATAATTTTGGAGGTTCAGAACATATCTAAGTATCTATGGCATAATAAGATCTATTTTATTAATGAACAAAACTAAAATAATTTGTCAGATTTTGTTTCAGTGCATTTAATTTGAATTGGAAGTAAACAAACATTAAACTTTAAAAACTCGAATTTAGCTCAAAAATAAAAAACTCAGATAAATAAAACTAAAAATTTTTGGTCTTTACGTGCATATTTTATTGATTATTGTTTCTTCTGAACACGATCCGCCTTCTTAAAATCGTCGTTTATTCTTCACGTAAGCAGCTAATTACAAGCACATTAGAAAATGTGTTAAAAATAGACAACTGTAACACATGTTCATTTAGTTTTACTTGGCAAAACATTAAGTGAATAATAATACTTTGCACATGTTACATTTAAGTTAAGGATTGGCATTCAATTTTACTTATTTTATTTTGTCATTGTCACTCTAAAATATATCAAAAACACAACAGAAAATAATCCGAATCAGTGAAAAATTTTATATCGCTACTACCGATTTAACTCCATGCAAAATGTATACTTCTACTATCTTATTTTTACTCACTCTTTTCCCGACTTTTCGGCATTTTTCTCATCCCCATCGTTATAAGCCAATACCTTTTCGCCCATTGCAGCCGTTGAAACGGATGGGTTTAGTTTGCAACAACTTAGCTCGTAAAAGCCATACTAACAGAATAAATAAAATTTCAATGCAATTTCTAACGCATCCCCATATTAATGAAAAGTAATTCACACTGTTTTCAGTTAGTTAAACTCTATACTATACTGTCAGTCCTTGAACTTAAATACTAAACTCGATAAAAAGCATGTCGTGACGCTGATATCGAAGTGGTCAATTGATAAAATTAAATAGTAGGTATTAAAATAGTTAACTCTGATATATTACTATATAAAGGCATTTCAATTCAAAACGATTCCTTCAATGACGAATTAATTGTAAGTAAAACATAAATGTAGCACGTGCTGAAACTTATGACGTAGCAACACGAATTCATGTGCGAATTGACTGACCAGTTTAATCACTACTTGTAAGTTATTTATAAAATATTATTTAGAGTAGTTTCTCGGATGCAAGGTTTTTATTTTTTGGCAACAGACCTCCTGCATACGTCAACTGCACGACAAAAACGCCTTTTGGTGGTCAAAATTTGCTAAAAACAGTTTCATCGAAGTAAATTAGCAATTAAAATGGCAAATAGGAGAAATAATTTATAAAGTTTAAAAAATTTGGATGCAGACAATAGACATCCAAATACAGATCAAAAGGGGTCCCACCTATCCGGAGGGTGCTTCATCCCCTTTTGCTTCATAAACCACCCTCTAATGTAACCTCGCGCCAGTTTTTTAATTTTTTCTCAAAAACTGCTGCTCTGACGACGAAAATTAGTAGGACCTAAAACATTCAGCATAAAATTCTACATCATTTGTGTCCCATACATTTTTTCGTATACCCAGCCTTAATCTCACAAATGACGTTTGAAATAGGTAAAGATAAGACAGACTCCTTAAAATTACGATGACTTTCGAGAAAAATTAATATGGGTGCTTAAAACTAAACAGCGGATTTTGGACTACATAACAAAATGACATAACATAACAAGATAAAGCTTTGCCAAATAGCTTTACGATAAACTATTAATATAATCCTTTTCGTTTTTAAAATTTAATGTAAATTGTATCCATAAAACGTAAAACATATGTTTAAACATGTTTAGTATGTATATCATATAGTTCACTCGATTGACAGAATTCGGAAGTCCTTCATAACTGTAAAAGAAATATATTATTTGCTCACGCATTCAGACGATGCTGCATATAACGAGTGTTCAAATAAAAACGTGGTCAAGTTGGTTCTGAAAATTTGGACGTAGGGCGTAGCGTATAGCAAATGAACTTAAACGTCATCTGTCAAAGCGCTATATCGCCGCTATCAATTTGAATATTTTCGTTTTAAAAAGCGTTTAAAATGGTGTTTTCTCAAGAACAAAAAGTGTTTATCATAGAGTCCTACTTTAGAAATGGACGCAAGATTGATGGAATATGGAAGTATTCTATTGAGGAATGTTTCATAGAATTTCAAAATCAATTTCCCGGCGTTGTCGAGTACAAAATTTTTCAAAGTGCAGTTCAGCGTTGTGTTAATGTTTTTCGTGAAACGGGCAGTGTAACAAGAAAAGAAGGAAGCGGCCGACCTAAAAAGCGGACTGAAGAATTAAAAGAAAATGTCCAACAAATAATGGAAAATGCGCCAAGAACTTCTGTACGTGTTTTATCACAAATGGTGGGAGTATCAGTCGGTACCTGCCACGCAGTGTTAAAAAAGATTTGCGTTTGTTCTCCTATCGTTTAACTTGTCAGCAAGAACTTCATGAAGTTGATTTTCCGCGACGGGCTGTATTTTGTGAATGCTTTTTAAACAACTACGGTGAACTTCATAATATCACCTTTTTTTCTGATGAAGCCTGGTTTCATTTAAGTTGTTACGTAAACTCACAGAGTATGAGAATGTGGTCTTCTGAAAAACCAGATAACTTTTTTGTCGAGGTCCCTCTACACGCTCAAAAAACTGGAGTTTGGTGTGCTCTCAATCGAAGGAGGATTTATGGACCTATTTTTTTAATGGTACTCTTACTGCGCAAAGGTATAGAGAAGAAATTATCGCTCCTTTTGTTAACCAGCTGGAAGAAAACGAAATTACAAACTTTTACTTTCAACAAGATGGCGCAAGGGCACATACGGCAGGCGAGACGATGAATATGTTGAGGGAAGTTTTCCAAAATCGACTAATAAGTCTCAATGCTGAACATGAATTTCCACCGAGGTCATGTGATATTACGCCGTGTGATTTCTTTTTGTGGCCTTACCTTAAAAACACTATTTTTGAACTGCCTATTCCTGATTTACACCATCTGCAGGCTCGACTTATAGACAAGATTCGTGAAATTAACAATACCCCGAGCATCTTAGAAAATGTCTTTAATTCTTTGAGGAACAGGTGTGAAAAATGCTTGGAACAAGGAGGGGGACAATTTCCGCAGCTCCTTTAATTGTTTGTTAGTTAACAAGGAGGGGGACAATTTCCGCAGCTCCTTTAATTGTTTGTTATTGTTATCACAATTATTCTTTAAAATAAAGTCATATAGTCATTAACGTTATTGAAACTGACAGCTGCTATACAGCTCGTTGAGAAGTGAGGTTAAGTTGGTCGCTATAAGCTACTCCCTACGTCCAATTTGTCAGAGCCAACTTCGACCACGTTTTTATTTGAACGCTCGTTATTTAATAATCCATCATCGATCTAATCAGACATTGTATGAGCTGGAGAGAAAATCACATTAGTTTTATACAAGGCACCTCGAAGTGTCACATCATTAAATCAATTTAGATTCATTTCATTTAACAAATTTGTTGGTCAATCTAATCAAGCAGTGATATTATCAAGACTACCACCTACATATGCTGCTTTAGAACAACATTCTCATCGCGTTTTACAACAAATTAATTCGTAGCGCGGAGAAAATTTGAAACCTAATGAATGCGGATGGAAAACAATTAGCCAATTTTTGATGCCAATTCCTACAATTGAGATACCAGCTCCTACTTCTATTCTTCAATTAATGTCATGCCGTTGTAAAAAAGGGTTGCGGAAAACGATGCGGTTGTGCTAAGATTGGATAGAAGTGTTCAACAATGTGTTCATGGTCAAGGATGTCATAATTCAGTGGTAGGGGAAGAATTAACTGAAGATAATTCAATTAATGAATAAACAGCAGTTAGTTTTTAGTGGATTAGGCCTCCAGGGGAAACTACTTACAAAAAAAACGCGCCGGGAGCTCTATCTCAACGGTAATAACCTAGTAATAATAAAATTTTCTGTAGTCATATTTGTTTGTCCTTATAGCCAGGTTTGTGTAGAAAAATCTGCTTTGCATGCAACATTTTTCCATGGACAATGTATTTCAAGATACAAATATCTTGAACTTTACTCGTTTTTGCCTAACTTTAGCAACATATCCTAATTTTGCAAATCATATTTGTGAGAGTATAGTTAACGATAGAAAAAAGTTTATACGACATAAATGATGTAGAATTTTATGCCCAATATTTTAGGTTCCATTCATTTTTCTCGTCAGAGCAGCAGTTTTTGAGAAAAATTTAAAAAAATGGCACGAGGTCACATTACAGGGTGGTTTCTGAAGAAAAAGGGGATGAAGCACCCTCCGGATAGGTGGGAACTCTGTTGATCTGTATTTGCATGTACGTAAGGAGTTCGTACCCAAATTTTAAAAACTTTATAAATTATTTCTCCTAAAAAACCTAATTTACTTCGACTAGTTACAAGCAACGAAAGGAGGTTTGTACAGATGCGTTCCACACTATAAAGGACTTTTAAAAAATAGGTATTTCTAGTGAGACCATCTATTGGCAATTAAGTACATGCGAAAAGTAGATCGTTCACGGATGTACTGTCAAAATTTCATGAAATTTGGACGAATAGAAACGAAGTTATTGCGTCTCAAGTGACAGTATGTTTGTGTCATTGGCAAAAAAGTGAGCATCGATAAAGAGCTAATATTAAGTTTTGTTTTAAACTTAGTAAAACTTTTACCGAAAAATTGCTCAGATTTCAACATTCGCAGAACATAGGTAATGAAGGAGGCTAAAAGGGAAAAAACTTCCTTTACAATTTTACTGATGATGAAACGTGGTGTTTGACGGAAACCAAGCACCAAAGTGCCGAGTGGAAGACGCCAAACGAGCTAAAATACCCCAAAAAATCTTGATCGGAGAAATCAAAAGTGAGGACAATGTTGATTTCCTTTCACAAAGATTGCGTTCCACCGGTCCAAACCGTTAATGTAATTCTATCTTGACGTTTTGAAGCGTTTGCGTATTCAACCAGAATATCGCGCAGCATCAAGTTGGCGTTTGTTGCACAATAATGCGCCATCTCGTCTACAGGCTTTCAGATCGCGCAAATCGCTGTATTGAGTTGGAAGGGAGCTATTTTGAATAAAATAAATCAACTGTTTTCGCGAAATCATTAACATAAAGCAAAAACAATATGGGACCCAAAATCGAACCCTGTGGGACCCCCAAATTAACAGAAGCACGCTCCGAATTTATGATGATAATTTTAATAATAATATTTTATGATCAACGTAGTCGAATGCCCTGCTGAGGTCACAAAATACCCCAACAGGGCACTCGCCAACCTCAATACATTCCAACACTTTCCTGTAAAAATTTGTCATAGCAGTGGTAGTAGACCTTCTATAAACCCATGCTGGTTATCCAATAAGTTCAATTCATGACCAAAATGTAACAGAAGATAACACTAAAACAGAAAATAGCGAGGTGCTATAATAACCTATAATAACTGAAATTTCAATGTTACTAATAATTACACAGGTCCACAAAAAAAAGTGGAATGTCCAAAAGACAAAACCATATGTTTTTGAGGTCGCTGAAACAGAATCCGGTGTCGTTTGGCCCTATCAAGTCTGAATTAAGGCCAGTTCAGGATCAAATATAGAGAATCCATTGCCAACAAAGTAAACCTATATATTTATACGTATTTGGGGTCGCTAAATCCGAATCCGGGGCCCGTTTTCAATACAACAAAATATAGGTGTGAAATTTTCGTGTAAATTTGTTATTAATATATTTTTTATAAAATGGTAAAAGTAGATAAGTAACAACCAAACCGTTGTTTCGTATACAGAATTATTATATGCATATTTATTT